ACTGCAAGCAATATTTTCTTAATAAACTACTTCATGCAGCTTTAAGAAAGTAAAAGTCATTATAAACTTTCTCAATATGTCTTTCTGCATGTAGACAAGCGTAGAATACATTGTGTGAAATAGCAAGAAAGAGTTGCCATCATCATGCCAAGATTAATAAACAGTCGGACTTAGAAGACATTGTATGAAATTCGTACTTCAATTATTGTTTGGTTTTTGGCAGTTATACAGCTATCCTGGCTACTATTTATTTCCAACTATAACATCTGAACTTTTAGCAGAAGCTATGATGAAAAGTCCAGATCCATTACGAACTCTTCATGCAGAATTAGCCATTTGTCGTCAGTTTTGCGCCATATCTGCATCAATGTCCCCTTAAGCTCCCCGACTTTCTCCGTTTCAATCTCGTAATTGGCTGTGACAATAGCAAAATCGCCACTTATAGCATATTCATCATTGGTGATCTGTAAAGACAATGTTTTGTGGGTTACCAAACATCTGTTACATCAAAAACAAACCTTTGATTTTCTGTCACCAGTTTTTTCCTTAAATCCGTCATGCTCTTTTTTCAAAGCTGCAAATAACAAAATATTTCTGAGGCTCTAAAAGTCTTAGTACATAGCTTAACTCTCACCATCTCTTCCATAGATTGCCCTCTTTCCCTTCTGGACGAAAACTGCGTCGGGATCAAAATGAGCGACTGCCTGTAAGAATTTAAAGTATAAATTCAATGCTAACATATATTTGAGAGAAAGCTGTTGAATTATGTCAAACTTGCTTTATCAAAGTCATGCTGCTCTCTGCTCTTTATGCAGTCATCGAAAAGTGGTTTGATAATGGCTTTGGCTTCTGTAAAAGACGTTACACGCATTCCAAATATGCGAAACAATCATTGACTGTTTGCTGAGCTTTAGAATATATTGAATGTAAAGAAACGAACATCAGCTCACCTTCAGAGGATACCATCGCACACTAATGCAAAGCGTTTACACACTTCGCTCGCCTGTTTTATATGCTCAACTAAAACTAGTTCTAATGGTATGTTTGAAACTAATGATAGAGCACCACAAGTATCCTTACTGATGACTGATTAGCGCTCATTACTCATTATTGTGTTTCTAAAAATGGTAAAGTGGGGCGCGTGTGTTTCACAATACAGTTATTGTCCATACTGTGATTATTGCAAATGGTTGCTCAACGCGGAAACCTTTTCTAACTGTTCAAAACACTTGTTTGGTCACCTTGAAAACTGAGGAAGACTCCAAAAGAGCATTAAACGATATGAGCAGCAAAAAATCCCTCA